GAGATTATCAGGATAACAAGGCTGATGTCATTTTAAAATACAATGCGGATGAAGCTAGAAGTCTGAAGGCATATGGCGAGCTTCCAGAACATGCTAAAATCAATGAAACGGATACATTTGGCCCAGGAGATGATGATGAAATCCAGTTTGATGACATTGGTGATGATGATGAGGACATCGTATCTCATATTAGCTATGATATCCCTAGTATCATGACCCAGCTTGTATTTCAGGCAGTTCTCTGTTGATGTACTATTCCAGTTGTATTTGGATAATCTGCAGCAAGGTTTTACTTGTATGTGATATTAGTGATATTGTTCAGTAATTTCCACATTGTTTTTTATCACCTTTTTTTGAGAATGAGAATATAAATATGGCTCTCTTCCAGTCAGTTGGCCAGGTAGCTGTCCTTCAGATATTTAGTGCAACCTGGTGAACATATCTAGGGCTGCATCTGTTGTTGAAATATGCAAGTTGTTATTACATTAATTCCTAGAGCCTTATTTTTTTTCTAATTCCTTCAGAGCAGCATGAACATCTTCCTTTATGACTATTGGTTCTTGATCATATGCTACCTTCTGAAAGGATTCTGTGTCAGACAATTGTTTTTGATAATAGTGATTCTGTGTATTCCTTCTATCTTTTTTCTTTAAGTCTAAATAAAAATTTTATTGGGATCTTGAGAGAGGAGAGTGGTGACTCAGATAATCCCAATTTTATGGACAACTTTGAAATGTGTATTTTTGTATGCTGACTTGGTTAATACACAGGGGTGAGGGTTGGGAGCAGAAGAGTAAGGATGGGCGAGATGAAATCAGAGGGCCGCACAATTTGGTGGGTGGAGGGAGAGGGCATAGGACATTAGAAAGATCCAATGGGAACCAGACGAGACAGGGTAATGGTGTGCATAGTCCAATGGTGATTAATTTTTTGTTTTTTTTTAGCTAAGAATTTGTCTTATTCACTTGTGGGTTTCTCATTTGGGAATGGGGCACAGACTCTCTGGCTTCTTCATGCTGAATGGGGCATTGATGTGAAGGGGGAAAGGGACCCACTCTAACATCTCACTGGTGTTCCTGGTATGAAGCTGCATGCCTTCTTGTTCAGTTAGAAGATATTTTCCTGATGTTTACTGCCCTCTGGACTCCAAAGTTTTTGCCAAGGTGGGTCCAGTGTGGATGGATGGCTGAATCCTAAGGCTTCATCCTCTTTTGCATCCTTAGCTGGAAGTTATATTTCCCTTTTGTCTCTGGAACTGTGTTCAGGGTTCAGGTCTGGAGCAAAACTCATTGTTAAGGTTACCTGTAGGAAAAGGAGCAAACCTAGAGAGAACAAACTTGTGAGTTACAAGGAGAGGGTTTTAGAGGTGTTACTCACAGGTGTACTGGGGGGAGGAGGTGAAGGAAAGTGGCTTAGATAAAATTCTTTGTATACCCTAGGCAGTTTCCCCAGTGACCTGAAGGCTTTTCCCAGGGGCCTGATGGTTTTCTCTGGGGGCCGGGAGGCACACGCTGGGGACAGAATGGCACACCTTCCATCTTCTTGTGAAGCTTCTCAGATTATTCAAGATTTTGTCCATAGAATCTTTCAGTATTGCATCTTGAGTCTTGAACCTGGTGGGGTTTTATTGTCAGTAGGAAAGGAAATTTTTAAAAAAATTTTTAAAAATTTTATACTGATTTACTCACAAAGTTCATATACATTGTTTTTCACATCGGATCTTTCTCCTTTCCTTTCCCCACTCCTCCATCCACCTATCAAATTGTGCGACACTATGATTAAATCCCCCTTCACCCATCCTCACTCCTCTGCTCCCCACTTCCCACCTTGGATCCTCAAACTAGTTCTACAGTAACGATCTTATACATTATTTGTCCTTATGTTACTGAATTAGTTCACTAACGATCTCCAGTCCGTCCCAATTTAGGTATTAATTTACAAAATCATTGCTCCTGTGTTCTGTATAGTATTCCATTGTGTGAATGTGCTATAATTTCTCAATCTGTTCCATTGTGGTTGGACATTTGGGCTCTTTCCACGTTCTTGTGATAGGGAATAACACTACTATGAACATAGGTGTACAAGTCTCTGTTTGTCCTCAGTTCTCGTTTTCTTGGTGTATATTCCAAGCAGTGGAATAACTAGGTCATATAGAATATCTATATTTGTTGTTGGTGTTGTTA